ACACAATACACACACACTCTCTCATACACACACTCACACATACACACAATACACACACACTCTCTCACACACACTCACACATATACACCATACACACACACTCTCACACACACATTCACACATACACACAATACACACACACACACACACTCACACATATACACAATACACACACACTCTGTCTCACACACTCACACATACACACAATACACACACACACACACACACACACACTCACTCACACTCACTCACACATACATGTCTTTTTTTTCCAGGAAGGAACCTTCCCACCCCTTTCCGTCCTGCCCCTTTCCAGACCCAAAGCCAATCTTGGAAAGACACAAAGTCTGTTCAGATTCTGAGAGTTGGTCCTTGCAGACGGGACCCAGAGGATGAGCATGTGCTTAACTTTCACCCCTCTTCCTACCCATCAATTTCAATAAACATTTATCAAGCACCTACTATATGCCAGGTACTATACTAAACGCTGGGCATACAAGAGGCAAAATGTAGTTCCTGCCCTCCAGGAGCTTACAGTCTAATGGAGGAGCCGACAGGAAAACCAATATTTACAAAGCAAACTACAGGCAGGATAAATAGGAGGTCATGAACAGAGGGAAGGCACTGGAATTCAGAGGGGTTTTTGGGAAGGCTTCCTGCGAGGCTTGGGATTTCATTTATTTATTTATTAGGCAATTGGGGTTAAGTGACTTGCCCAGGGTCACACAGCTAGTAAGTATCAAGTGTTTGGTCTGAGGCCAGATTTGAACTCAGGTCCTCCTGACTTCAGGGACAGTGCTCTATCCACTGTGCCACCTAGCTGCACTGAGGCTTGGGATTTTAGTTGGGACTTAAGGGAGCCAGGGAGGTCAATAGTCAGAGCAAAGAAGGGAGAGCCTTCCAGAACATCCCCAGAGCCGAGGGATGGAGCGTCTTGTGTGTGGAACAGCCCGGAGCAGGTATAGAGCGTAAAGAGACTGCAAAGGTAGGGGAGCTGGACTACCAGAGGCTCTGAAGGCCAATCAGAGCATTTCGCATTTGCTCCTGGAGGCCATAGGGAGCCGCTGGAGTTTACTGAGTAGGGGTGACCCAGTAAGGTCTTTGCTTTAGAGAGATCATTTTGGAGGCTGAATGGAGGCTGGACTAGAGTGGGGAGAGACTTGAGGCAGGCAGACCCTCCCCCGCCCCCCAGCAGCTCTGGCAATAGTCCAGGGGAGAGGAGATGAGGGCCTGCGCCAGGATGGGGGCAGGGTCAGAAAACAAAAGGGGACGTATTTGAGAGGCGCATTGCCTGCTGCAAAGGTGCCCTGAACGGGCCTTGGCAGCACTTGGACGTGGGGGCTGAGAGAAAGTGCAGAGTCCAGGGTGACTCCTGGGTTGGGGGCCTGCAGGACTGGAGGAGGATGGTGCCCTCAACAGTGACAGGGAACGTAGGAAGAAGAGAGAGGTTCTGCTCTGGACATGCTGAGTGTAAGGGGTCTCCTGCACGTCCAGCTGGAGATGCGAGATTGGAGGTTGGGGCAGGACAGGGAGATTTGAGGATCATCAGCAAAGAGGTGGTCATTAAGTCAATGGAAGCTGACGAGCCCTCCCCATGACGTGGGACAGAGGGAGAAGAGCAGGCCTGGGATGGAGTCCTGAGGGACACCTTCAGTTAGGGGAGGGTCAGAAGAAGATGGAGAAGGAGCGGTCAGAGGGGGAGGAGGAGAACCAGGAGGGAGGGATGTCCCGCAAACCTAGAGAGAAGAGAGGATCCAGGAGGAGAGAGTGAAGGACGGCGTCCAAGGCTGCAGAGAGGCCGAGGAGAAGGAGGACGGAGAAGAGGCCACGAGATTTGGTAGCTAGATCGCTGGAGTTTTGGTGGAATGCTAAGATCAGAAGCTGGATTATAAGGGGTTAATAGAGAGGAGAGAAAATGGAGGCACCTATGATGGCTTCTTCCAATGTAGCCATGGTGGGCAAGAGATGTAGGATGATAGTTAGTGGCAATGGAAAGACCAAGTGAATCTTGTTTTCTGGATGGTGGAGACATGGGCATGTTTGTAGGCAGTAGGAGGTGAGCCAGTAGTGACAGAGAGCGGAGGCAGTCTGTTCAGATGGTATGGACGGGATTGCTTTGACAGGCTAACCAAGGGTTTGCCATTTCATCATGGGAGACAGAGTAAAGGAGGAGAGAGTGGCAGGAGGCGTCTGAATAGCAGGGGATGAGGAGGAAGGCTCTAGAAATGATTGAAGGATAGGGGACAGTCCCCGAGCTAGAGACCCGAAAGTCTGACCTATTCCTGGAGAGGAGTTTTCTCTACAATATCCCTGACAAGAAGTCATCCTACCTCTGCTTGGAGACCTCCAGTGATGGGGAGCTCACTACCTCTTGATGTAGCCGGATTCATTTTGGGACAGATCTCCTTATCAGACAGTTTTTGTGTAACATTAATCTGTCCCCCTGAAATCTCCTACTCCCCCCCACCACACCCCACATTGCTCTTAATTCTATCCTCTGGGGCCAAGCAGAACAAAGCAGTTCTTCATCTCACCAGAAGTTCCTTGAAGACTAGAGTATTGTCCCCACCTCATTCTTCCTTCATGGGCAACCATTTATCCTCTCCAGAGCCTCAGTTTCCTCAACAGTATAAGAGGGGATGGTCTACATGACCGCCATGTAAGATGAATCTCTTCTTGAGGCTCACCCACCATTCTTCAAGTTGGCATTGATGTAATTTTTCTCCCTTTCCCTGTCCTGGTCATCCTCCTTTGGACAGTGCTTAGCACAGTGCCCAGCACATAGTAGGCACTTAATGAGTGCCAGTTGACCGACTGACTTTGGGCACGTCCAGCTCACCAGTGTCTGGCCTAGATAATGAGGACACTCTTCATTCAGTGGTCAGTTGGAGGAGTGAGGAGGGTGATGCCTCGTGGGGGTCTTTAGCATCAGAAGGGAAAGATTGTCATAGAGAAGAGAGGTCCAACTCATTCTCCTTGGCTCTGGAGGCCAAGACCATCAGCCACGGGGGGAGGGGCAGGGAGAAAGCTCTGGGTTCCATCTAAAGAAAACTTCCTAACAACTGGAACTGTCTTGTCAGCAAATGGGCTGCTAGGTCATGCTGGGAGGCAAAGAAGCTTTGAGTTCAAATCCTGCCACAGACAATTACCAGCTTTGTGGAATTCAAATGGCATGCCACTCAACTCTTTCAGCCTCAGTTTCCTTTATTTGTCGAATGGGGTTAATAACAGCATCTTGTGCCATGGTTGTGTATGTCAAGTGCTAGACAGAGGGTGGCTAGTATAATTATTAGCAATTTTTTACTCACTAGAGTGAAATTAGTTCTGCCTAGGATTATAGTCTTAGAGCTGGAAGAGCTCAGAGACTTTTCATTGTTTTTCAGTTATATCTGACCTTTCATGACCCCATTTGGGGTTTTCTTGGCAGAGATACTAGAGTGATTTGCCATTTCCTTCTCCAGCCCATTTTACAGATGAGGAAACTTGAGGCAGACAGGGTGAAGTGACTTGCCCAGGGTCACACAGCTAATAAATGTCTGAAGCCAGATTTGAACTCAGGAAGATGAACCTGGCACTCTGTGCACTGCCCCACCTAGCTGCCCTAGAGATTCTTAACCCCTAGACCCGATCACCTTCCTCATTTTGCAGATGAGG